AAAAAAAAAAAAAAAACACCCGTTCCCTTGTGTTGGTAGGGTGTATGGCTGTAACACTAACCCCTTTAAAATCCTTTAGACCCCCGAAACTGGAAACCCCAAGCCCGTGGACCCGGGCGCCACTCTCTACAGCAGAGCAGCGTTGCCAAAAAAAGACACGAGAGACTGAAACTTGCGCCCGCATTCAATATACTTTGATGCTCGGAATCTGAAGGGACGCGGTAGGGGTTTATGTCGCCCATGGGCATAAATAAGCGGGGTATGTACCTTGCTCGGGGCAAGGGGTAAGTCTTGCTGGCTGTAATTACCTTACAGCCGTGAACCAGCCTCAAGCTCAGTTCGTCCGTCGTTCTGCAGGCCACTTTTCGCTAGCAGAAGTCAAACCGTAAGTACTCGCAAAGCCAGCTTGGTTGCCTGGGTTCACAAGCCCCGACACAATTTGTGGCGATTGGCTGTTTCCTGATTTAGATGTAACACACGAGCAAGTCAATCGCAGTAAACTTTGCGCAAGAATCGGTTGACAAAATTTGCTGCGTGCGGGGCATCCCGAGCCCCGGGAATCGAATATAAATCCGGAGACCTCCCCCAATATTTACATTGTTTACTTTATTTAATTCCGGGGGTTCGGGACTTCCGGGACCCCCCTCCTCAGGATTTGAACTAGTTACATTGTTTAACATATTTACACTAAGCAAATGATTTAATTCTCCTCCTGGAATTGCTGGGAGACTCAAACCCTGTCTATTTGGCCCAAATAAGCCAGGTTTTAGTTATTTCAGGGGTTTCGGGAGGAGAATTACATATTCAAACCAACTAAAATATCTATCTAAGTCCTGGGCCCGGGGCTCGGGACCTTCCGGGACCCCCCCTCCTCAGGATTTACAATATTTAACGTATTTACATGCTTTTAAATCCCGGCTCACACTAAATAATTTATGATTTAACAAAAGTTTAATCCTGTGGAAGGGAGGGGTCCTCGGGGTCCCGAGCCCCGGGAATTAAACAAATTACATAATGTAAATCCGGAGGCCTCCCCCAATTGTTGCGTGTGATTATTTACATTACTTAATTCCGGTGGTTCGGGACTCCCCAGGATTTAAATAATGTAAGTGTTTAAAAGTACTTAACTCGGGCCAAGAATTAACATGGTTAAATCCGGAGGTCTCCCTCAATATGAGGAGAACTGTTTGGCAGCTGGTCCTCCCATGGTTCCAGCTGCCAAATAGACCAGGTTTAAGGTGCACACACACGCCCCCCCCCCCCCCCCCCGCACCAGCACACACCAGCCGCGAGTTGCCAGGACCTGCCAGGGCCAGTGTTCAGTGCAGCCCGAAACAGCACTGAGCTGCAGCGCGCCCTGGGCCCTGCGCCCTGGCCTTGCACATTTCCATCCTGTTCTCTTCATTCACCCTCAGCTTCTCCCAAGAAAAAGCACCGGAGTGCCCGCCACAAGAGTCCACGGAGTGCCTTCCAGTCAGCCCATGCCTAAACATGCCTGCGAGGACGGAGGGCCCCACCTCCGGGGCCCGGGCCTGGGTTTCGCAGCGCGTGCCGCCATGGCGCCATCCGGCGCCATGTGCCCCTTGAAGCTTCCAGCTGCAGCGGCAGCAAGCGGCAGCAAGCGGCGTCATCGCAGCGCTAGAGCAGCCAGAGTCGGAATTTCTTGCGGCACACAGCAGTGAAACCAGTGATTGCCACATCTGTGGATGGACCGACCTACTGCGACAAGTGCAAGTCGGCGACATGCGACACACTGTCACCTTCGGGGTGCTTCTGCAAATTCCCGACTGCACACCTGCCATGCGATGGCACAGATGCCATAACGAACTACAGGAGCAACCGAATGCGATATTCTCGCGACGGCTGCATCTTGCAATTGAATTACCGTAACTTGACGGAAAGCCGAAAACCCTGCATGTTGCAAGGCTCGCGGCTTTGGCATAAAATGTTGAGGGTCAGACATGACCACATGGAAGCAAAGGCTGCTCATTCAACTCCTAGCAAGAGCCCACATTGACATCAAGACAAGACAACATCACATTGCAACACTCTGGCCTCAAAATTCTTGTTGTTCGGGAAGGCTGTGTAGAATGGCGGCTTGTCCCTGCAAGATATTCTACAAGTCATAGCTGTCATAGCACCTCCAACCTATTCACACTGATAGGTGGTTGGATGTGACTGAGAGACAGCATCCAATGCATGGCACATGGCCGAAGCCTGAGACCCAAGGAAAGCCCTTCGTGGAAACCCAATTTTCTCATCGCAAGACTCGGATGCGTCCGGAGGGTGCAGAAACCCGTGCCTGATCTTGGGCAGCTCTAGGTAATCCTCGCAGACAGCGGTGAAACGCCGAGCCGAGCCGAGCCGAGACGGGGCCCCCGGCGTTGCGCAGCTCGAAGGGCCTCTCCAAGTAGGGCACAGACCTCAAAAAGGCCAAGATGCGACGCCCCCGACGCCCCCAAGCACCCCCTCTCCCATCCATAGCTTGGGCCCCCGTCGTGTGGACGCTGGCAGGCGGAGGGCGTTCCGCGAGTCGCCCTGGTGCTTTGAAGTCTTCCGGCGAGGTGCGGATCATCTTGCAGAGCCTCGCCAACACGGCACACAGAGCGCCAAGCGACCTATTGTTGGAATTTATTGATGGGCCATTCTGGCTTTAAGGTTTCAGGGTTTGGTGTTCCAGATGTCCCTAATCTCTAAACCCGAAAAACAAGCAGCTCAACGGGTAGATCCAGAAAAACTGGCTGTGTGGGGGGCCTTTGTATAAGGGCATTATGGATGAATTTTCTTTTTGAAACAGGGAAACTAACTATCGAGAGTTTCGGTTTGCCGTTGCCAAACGGTTGATGCAACACAGACTTTGCTAGCAAGGTTTGTTGTGCAATGGGACAAGTGAAACCCCGCAAACCCCAGGATTCGCGAACCTTCATTCAATCAGTTTGCGGCCCAAGGCCATTTAACCATTTCAGTTTGACCCTATGCATGGTTTGGTACCAAACCGTCCAGTACACGGTTTCCTTAATTCACCAAGATCCCAGTTCTTGACCCTGTGGATGGCTTGGGGAGCATGCAGATGGGGGAATGGAAAACTGAAGTGTTGAAACTGTGAAACGATGACTGAGTGAAACGGTGAGTTTGTAGGAGATGAATGGCGAAACGGTTACAGGTGTTTGACCTTGACCCTACCATGCCATCTTATCATATTATCTCAATGATTTGTGCAGAGGAGGTGTGAGAGGCTCCCTGTGTCCGCGGCTTGTTCTGCATCTTGAGATCCCGTTCCACGGCATCGTAGGGAGACGTCGCCTGGCAAGTAGACTCAAAAAGCGCGCGACTTCGGCATTCGCAAAGGGCGCCGCCTGCACGGACTTGTAGAGGTTGGCTGCCTTCACATTGGCCACCTCGATCTGTTCACGAGACCTCGAGAGAGCACGCGAGCGCAGAGCATACTGCAACAGCACAGTCCCCATCTCAGATTACACTTCGAAATCGCCAGACTTTAATTGAAAGTGCGACAGAAGGAACACCGAGCGAGCGCAGCAAGCCTGAGAAACATCTATCCTGCACAAGCTTTGGCTTACGTTGAAGCGGCGGAAGCGACAACTGGAGCTGGGAGCTCGCCCCAAAAAAGAACTCGACTCCTCTCTGCAGCGAGGCCGCAGCAGACATGCAATGCTCATGCAATATGGTGACATCGTGCTCTACGCTTCGAGACGCTCCGCCGAGATTCAAAAAACAGAAACGCAGGAAGACACGGGAGGGCGTCAGCCACCTGGGGCACCAGCCTGAAAGGGCCCTGCACCCGCTGGCAGCGACCGGTGCTCGCCGTCCTCTGCGCCCGTGCTTCCAGTGTCCCCTCACTCATCCCTTCCCATCCTCTCATCCTCTCATCCTCTCCTCTTTGCTTCTGTCACCTCCCCACTTCGAAACTGTGGCGCTCCTCGAGGCGCAGGGCGCGCGGCCCGGCAGCTCTTGCGGTGGGCCGGCCGTGTGCTGGTCTCACAAAGCAGGGAAGGAGCGAGAGAGAGACAGAGACAGAGAGAGCGAGAGCGAGAGCGAGAGCGAGAGCGAGAGCGAGAGCGAGAGCGAGAGCGAGAGCGAGAGCGAGGGAGGGAGGAAGGGAGGGAAAAAGAGACAATGAGAAGAGGGAGGAAGGTTGGAAGCAGTTTGCCTGCATTCACCCTCTCAGCTAAGAGTCAAAACCAAGAGTGCTGCCGGCCTGAAAGCATCTGCTCGGCTTGCGAGACTGCGGGCAAAGGCCAGTGCGTTTCTGTCGACTGCTTCTTATGTGGTGGCTGGCCTGGCCTCCAACACGGCTGCCACGCACGGCGCTGGCCTGGCAGCCCGGGGCATCACTGCAGCCACTGCAGCATGAGACCTCGCCGTTTGGGCCTGGAGGCGGTGAGGGCGGCGCATCGACCTGTCACTCGAAGCGGAGCCCAAATTCCACGGAGGCAGAGTCTGCCTGGGCAGCCGAAGCCGTAAGGATTCTCGCAAGTGCTGCCTCGGCCACGAGAGCGCGACGACGAGAGCGACAGCGAGAGCGACAGCGCATCTCTCCTTGGAACCCGGCTCGATCGGCTTGTCAAAGGCCCTGGGCAGGTGGTCATTGTACGGCGGGTTGTAGACTCCTGAACGCTGGACTCTCCCGCGGCGGTTAAAATATCTCACGCCTCCTTTCTGCCCAGTCCTGGAATGCTCTTCGTGCTCACCTGACAGAACGCCGAGGTTTGGGGCGCCCCTCTGCTTCTCTGCGAAGCCGAGGTGCCAGGTGGTGGATGTCCCCCGCCACCGCCCGGAACTCCTGCCTCCAAGAGCGGAGAGCAGAGCAGAGAGCAGAGAGCTCTCAGACGCAAAGAGAAAGACAGAGAGGGGACGGCTCGTCTTGTCTCGTCTTTTCTCGTCTTTTCTCTTCTGCTCTTTTGCTCTGCTCTTTTTGCTCTGCTCTTTTCTCCACTTCTCTTTTCTTCTCTCTGCGCCTCATCTGCTGCTCTTCTTCCATCTTCGCCAGTGCCAAGCGCTCCTGGCGGGCGACGACGCCGTGACGACTCCGAAACTCCACGGTCGGCCGAGAGGGGGACGCGGTGATCATGAGCCAAGTACCTCGGACAAAAAGCTGCCTCTTGTGTCCTTTTCCTACTTGAACGGAACGGAGTTCCCCACGCATGGGTCCATTGTCCGCGTTGTGCGCATCTTTCGACATACCTGGGAAGGCCAACGACGAGATAGGATCCGATCCGCATCCGACCCAGGTGCCTCTTCCTTCCCTGGAAGTCATGCAAGTGCCTGACAGCAGCATTGCTGCACCAGTTTTCGTGAGTGCAGGCCCCGCACCTGCGACTCCACCAACCGCGGAAGAAGCGCTGGATCACCACCTGAATGCGCGCAGCCCACTACCCGGCCTACCCTGCCGAGTAGATGAGTTGTCGGAGGCTCGGCACACGACCGCTGATTGATGGAAGAACTGGTTCTGCAACTGCCTTGAGCTGCCGGCAAGGAGCAAAAGAAGGAAAAATCACCGGAATGGCCGATCTCAACTGGCGCCTGAGACGCTGGAATCGGAGAGTGCGGGCTCGTCGCCGGCCCGACCAGCCACGGACCGCGCGCTGCAGAAAGGAGGCAACAGAGAAGGATCAACAACCTGTACTGTATGACCTGTGCCTGTATCATGAGCGTGGCGCCCACCACTGCACGCCAACCTCCGACAAGTTTGAAGTCCTGTGAAGTCTTGAAGTGTCTGACAGCTGTGGGAGGCCCCTGCTGCGCCGGATCTTCGAGGCTCGGAAGACGCTCTGAATCCTCCCGTGCAGGTCGCAGAAGCCCACTGGGCCCAAGGAAACAGCCGCACGTTTTCCCAAAACAGCGCTCGCCTCGTCACTGCCTGCACCTCCCTGGCTAAGTTCTCACTCGCGGCCTCTTGCAAGTCTGGAATTGGAAGGGAGTTCGCACTGTCATGCGATGCGCCTGTGTGAGGAGGAAATATCTTTGGAAGACCTCAAAGATGCAAACTCTGCTGGCAGAACGAAGGGTGCATGCTTCGATTCTGCCTTCTCCGTGGCTCGCTGTAACCCAGGAAAGTGCGCCATGTCTAAGCTCGAGATTCGTAAGTTAGGGTTCCATGAGTCTGTGTCTGTGTTTGTGTTTCCTGCTTATCGCTTGCAAATGTCATTTTGCTTCACATGCCAACGACGGGATCCTTAGATGTCTTGGATGCTGGACACCGCTATCCAGGCACAGAGATATCCGCCCCGTTCTCGAGCACTTTTTCCGCTTTCTTCCGGACAAGACTGCAAGGCCTGTAACCCCATTCAGGGTTAAAGATTTTAGCGGGCTTTCGGGTGCGCTTCCATCTCGGGCGGTCGGGCTGAGCAGCTTTTAAGGAGTTGGGCTTCCGACGCGATTTTTGAAATTATTCGTCACCCATGAACACCCACCTTCAATCGTACATCTTCGTTCTCGAACAAATTTGCCTGAAGAACGAAGTCGCATTTGCAGGTTTGTACTCGAAGAAACTGCTGGGAAATGCTATGAAGGCAACGCATGCGACAGCGAGGTGCCGAACATCAGATTGAAGCTCGACACATGAAAATTTTGAACGCACAAATCAACGAGGCATGATGCATGCGTGTATGCGTGTATGTGTATATATACATGCGCCCGATACCTTTGGGGTCTTTTTAACCAGCTTTTGATATATACAATATCAAATGTTTAGCTAGATAGTATATGGCTAAGTGGGACATTGCACAAACCGAAATCCAAAAAGTTGTGGACCGACAAAGAGATATATCTGTATGTATGTATATATATATATATATATATATGCTACCCACCCCTGGTAGATCCATGGAGGGATTATATGGATAAGTTATATATTGCATAAACCCAAATCCAACAAGTTTTGGACAAACTGTGATACAGTGTTTATGAAAGCTTTAAACCAAACTTTAAGGTTCGGGCGGACTAGTCCGTT